CTCTCTCTCTCTCTCTCTCTCTCTCTCTCTCTCTCTCTCTCTCTCTCACTCACTCACTTCAGCTGATAAAATAGCCCTATGAAAATCAGTAGCTGGGGCTTCTATCTGTTGATGCTACACCTTGGAAAGCTTAAAATTAGCAACACATCATCAAAGTGACTGAAACAGATTTCTGTAAATATTAGACTTGGGTGCTGGATCCGAGTACAGGGCAGCAAAGGGGTTGTGGGTAGTGCTTGGCATCATATTTCATATTTCCTGAATATTGGGGGCATAACATTTGGTGGTTCAGGATAGATAAAAGTTCCCCTCGCACACGTGTGCTAGTCGTTCCTGACTCTAGGAGGTGGTGCTCAACTCCATTTCAAAGCTGAAGAGCCAGCGCTGTCTGAAGACGTCTCTGTGGTCACGTGGCCAGCATGACTAAGCACTGAAAGCGCATGGAATGTTGTTACCTTCCCACCAAAGTTGTCCCTATTTTTCTACTTGCATTTTTACATGCTTTCGAACTGCTAGGTGGGCAGAAGCTGGGACATCACTCCGTTATGCGGTGCTAGGGAATTTGAACTGCCGATCTCAGTGTCTTAGCCACTGAGCCACTGCGAACCTTGGTTTAGGATACCCAAGTCCACATTAGCAAAGAAATCATCTTATGATTAAAAAGCAGATCAGAGAATCTTGCAGCAATTTTAAGAATTCATCCAAGCATTAGAACATCGGGTTTTGTGGATCATTGTTTAGTTCACTGGAGACAATGTAGGAGACAATCCTTTCTGATAAACTACATTGTGATTCACAGAAGTATTGACGCACAACAAATATGTTTTATAAAATTTCATGAGATTCTTTGCTGTTTTAAAATATATATAGCACCAGGTTACTAAGGGTGGTATATTTTATTTTGTTCTTGGGTTGAGGAACTTTGGATTTATACTGTTAAATCCCTGGCATAATATTTGTAATGGCATCCCACAAGATCTGTTTAAATCCTATCTAAATACAATTTAAATCAAATGCTTAATTTTGATTCCTTGCAGCAAGCTACTTTTGTTATATGTTGTTACAGCTTTATTGGGTATCTTCTGTCTATATTGTATGTTGGAGATGGTTGTGCAATTATTGCAAAGCATACCTGATCCCCAATTCCTTCTACTTTTTCCACAATGAGACAATTCAGACTAAGATACAGCATCACTAAATGACCCAGCTTAAAAATTCAAACAGAAACTAAGTCCTGGTTAAATTATTGGAGATTTGATCAACTCAAGTCTTATTTTAAAAAAAGCTGGATTACATTTTACATATTGAACAATTAAATGAGGAATCCATTTTATTCCATTTAGTGGTTTATTATTTAGGTTTAATCCAGCGCTTCTTTGGTAAAAGAAGCATGTATCACAGCAACTTCTAACTTAAAGCAGTGTTCCTTGTTTATTTATTTAGTTGTTGAATCCTGCAAAACATACAGTAAGTTCACACCTTCAAAGGTCTACCCTTTAGCTGGATCTTGGTGGTGCCAATCTTGAGTGTTATTTTGAATTAAGCAGCTAATTTTGAACAAGTGCCACTGTTGATTATCTAAGCACTGCTAATTGCGGTGATTCCTTACAATGGAATTGTAACAGAATGGTGCGATGAGAAACAAATGTAAGACAAATATGTGCTTGGCTACCCAAGAAATTGGGGAGAGATTACCACTAAATGCAACAAAATGTAACTAAGGAGATATTTAACCCACAATAAGGAATAGAAGTAACAGCTTTCTATCACCCAATACTGTTAGTATCTACAACCCAGAACTCGGATTGCTAAAGGTTCTCTTAAGTTTTTTCATCACTTTGAATCTCCTTTATTTTACTGGAGATATCATCATTAATCCCGGAATCTGTTGCAATAGCTTGCTGTGCTATGATAGCCTAAGATGATACTTATTCAGAAAAAAAGTGGCAACTCAACAGTTGAATGTAAGCTATGATAATTAGAAGACAAGATAGAGTGAGTCTTTCACACAAAAATATCACTTTGTTTTCATGCATATTGCCACGTCTCAGTGAAAAAATACACTGGTTTATTGCTGTCTATATGTTTTATATGTTAAATCTACCATTTTTCTTTTGTTAGTGCAACACAACAGAATCAACGACACAATATATCAATAAGAAATTGATTGGATTCTTCTATCTACTTCCTTTATTATAAGCAAAGGAAGGAAGGGGCTAAATTTCCATCATTCACAATAAACCACTTAGGAACCATGCAAAAAAAAAAAAAGTATTTGCCTAGAACAACACCCAATATACAACACACTCAGTATGAATCCATCATTCATTTTCTACTCCCCCACATAATCTTTGCCTGCCTCCTCCTACTGCAGTCTTTGTGAGAGACAGTCAAATGATCAAATACTAACCAACTAAGATGGAATAGAGTATTCCTGGGCGATCAGATGCAGGCTGGATGTTGCGATCCTGATCTATAGCTTGTATTGGTGGTGTAACATTGATTGGGTTTACCCGTGCCTGGAATGAAAATTAGATGTGTTACAGTGGTATTCTTACACAGATGATTTTATTTAATAGTAAGCCATGATGCTGAGTACATTAACAGGTAACAATTATAAACACAAGTAGTACAGTTGTATAAACATATCAGCTTGAAAAACTGAACATGAACTAACATTATTAGTGCAATTTCAGGGCTACAAACCTATATAGATTGTCCACATATCCTTTAAGTACATAATGTAAGGTTAGACTGTGTTTGTTAAAAATCTATACCGTGTACGGGCTCTGGGAAGTCGGGGGAGGGGAGGGAGGTGGGGGGTTAGGGGGGAGGGTGGGGGAGGGGGGATATATACTATGTGTTAGATTTCAATGTAATGCGATTTCACATGTATACTGTTTCTCTTTAATTTCTCTGTAAAAATAGGACAAGCTGAATACATTGACATATAGTAGAAATACACCAAGGGGAGGAGCAGTGGGATAGAAGAAAGAGGGGTAGAGAGGGCGGGAGAGAGGATGGGAGGGAGGGTGAGAAGGAAGGGAGGGAGTGGACTGGGAGAGAGGAATGGTAGAGGGGAATGATGGAGGGAAGATAGAAAGTTGGAGGGGGGGTGGAAGAAAGAGGTGTATGGAGAGTGGAAGAGGTATATTGGGTTTCTATTTTGGGGGGTATTGTTGACAAGAGGAATTGCTGTGATTATTGTTTAATGTTGTATGGCCCCGGCTATGCACAGTATATATGTGACTGTATGAAAATGAAAAATAAAAACATTTAACTTTTAAAAAAAGTACATAATGTAAGGTATTTCCATCATAATGTTATGAGTTTTTCTAAACACAAAAAGTTGTTAGTGCATTATAATAGGGCATTATTTAGGTACACTGTATTTCTTTTGGGAAGGAGATAGAACTTTATTTAGCTATAAGCTAAATGCTGTAAAAAAAATTACTCAAGTATTATAGAAAATAGATTTCATGGTAATTGTTTAAATTATTCTCTTCCCCTCACTAAATAAATTGAGATAATATGTTTTCAACTCAGTGATATATTTCACTGATATATTTTACTGGCCAATAAAGACGTCAGGGACTGCATATGCCCTCAAAGCCACCCTAATTCTCACAAGAGCCGAGGTGGCGCAGTGGTTAAATGCAGCACTGCAGGCTACTGCTAGATCAGCAGTTCAGCGGTTCAAATCTCACCGGCTCAGGGTTGACTCAGCCTTCCATCCTTCCGAGGTGGGTAAAATGAGGACCCGGATTGTTGGGGGCAATATGCTGACTCTCTGTAAACCGCTTAGAGAGGGCTGAAAGCCCTATGAAGCGGTATATAAGTCTACTGCTATTGCTATGTGTGCAAAGACAATTCTTCAAACAATCAAAGGTTAAGATCATTAATGGAAATATAGACTGTCTTTTAGCTATGCAACTGACTGATTGGTACAGTGACTCTATTTTCTTGGAAAAATAAAGGATAACCCTGAAAAAGATCAAATCTGAAAGAGGTTTTTTAAGGGTTAAAAAAAAGGGTATGGAACTGCTTTACAAAGGAAAGTTCAAAAGCAAAGTCAAGGAAAACTTTACGAGAACATATATTCTAATAAAAAAAATCTAAAAACCATAAAAAGCTAAGAAGCAAATAATAGAAAGGATTTCTGCAATCAGATTGTGCATTAAGTGATACCATTTGTATGGTAAAAGTTAAATGGCCAAAATAAAGGAGAAAAGTGGCTTTTTGCAAAATGAATAAATCTAAATGACAGGTTTCTAAAATGAAGGACTGTCCTTTATAATAAAGAACATTATGTTCGCAGTACATGCTGGGAAAGAACCACTTGGCGATGCAGTGACCTCTGGAATCATTAAAGTAGCCATAACCTGCTTGCTTGCTTATAAATTATTGCTGGAAATCTTGAACATGTATATGAGAACAGCTATTATGCTTCACTATTAATTATCTACTATTTTCCTAATGGATAATTCAAAGAAAGGTGCTTCACACACCCACATACACCCACCCACACACACTCATTGTGAAACTCTTCTCGCTAAGATTGGTATTGCCTACTGTTGTATTTTACATATGGAACATAGAATTTTTTTAAAAAAATATACAGGCTCTAAATCCAAAAGTAATTTAACTGTGATCCCAATGTTGTAATAGATGTGATTTGATTTGATATAAGCTGCAATCAAAATACTGCTGTAGAAGAAGAAATCAAGTGGAAAAAAATATCAAACTTGAGCTTTATCTGCATTTTTTCCTCTTGGAAATCTATTGCTGTATTTCAAAGCATGTATGCAAAATGAGCTATAAGTTAAAAAAAAAGTAGAGCAAAAACAAGTAATTATCCATAGCAGGCTTCTCTTGAATTTGGCATTATAAACTTGTCACATAATGTGACAGAAAGATAAACTGTGAAATGTTTATTTAGAGGTAATAACATTGGAATACGTATGCTATAATTTTAAACTTCTATCACAACAACATTATCTTATTAGCAACTTGGAACTTTTTTTTAAAGTTAATGATTTGCCTTGACATAAGTATTCAGCAAAATTCTAACACAGTGTAGCCAGAGAAGATTAAAATCAATATTACTGATCTGATTTTTTTTGTGTTAACTATTTTTAGAGAATATGCTGACCCCAAAGCGCAACTTATTACTTTTTTAAAAAAGCAGTTTGTGTGTGTAGTAAATCTGGATAGTTTAAATAAACATAAAAGTAAAGGGTGGAGGAATTCACAGAATTTTGTGAACAACCACCATTACTCCACATTTTCCTCTGATTTACAAATAAATTGCATTTCATTTATTTTTTTCTTTCTTAAAAGAGAGGGTTGGTTTGTTCAACTGTTTATTGGTGCCAAACAAAGAATATTTTTTCTGCATATTGATTGGTAAAACTAATGGTGAGGATAATATGAAAAGAATCTGAACATTACCTTTTGAAAAAAAAAAGACATTAAAAAATCCTACCATTTCATTCTGTCATTGTCATGCATCCAGTTAAATAATTAGAACTTTATGCAACTCTCTGCATCTTATAGATTACCCTGAAATTATTCAGTAAATGACAATATGCTACAAAGAATAAGACCATGAAAGAGCAAATTCTAATTTATCACTTTTTGCTTCTGATATGCAAGTCTAGTTTTCTCAGTACACATAAACAAATATCCAAATATAGCAATGGGTATGCATATTGACACAGAGAAGGATTGAGATTCAGCTTTTTGAAAGCAACATTTCAGACCCAAATAGTTTCATTAGTTAAGGAACTAAAGGACAAATTTACATATTAACCATCCCTTGAATGAAAAGAAGGCACATCTTCCTCTAGTTGACCTTGGCAGGTCCATTTAGTTTACTGGGCAATACTATGAAAGTGGATTTTATAGTCTTACATAGTACAACATACACTATTACTCTAGAAACTCCAGGACAACACATTCCCAAATGGCAAACATCAACCTTTGAGTTTGCTCTATGTTGCAAGTGCTAATTTAAAAAAAAAAAATTCAACCAGGGATGAAATTCAGCAGTTTCTCACAGGTTCTGGAGAACCGGTAGCGGAAAGTTTGAGTCATTCGGAGAACTCTGGCTGGCCCCAGAGTGCGGCGGGAATGGGGATTTTGCAGTATCCTTCCCGCAGGAGTGCGGTGGGAATGAAGATTTTACAGTATCCTTCCCCTGCCATGCCCACCAAGCCATGCCCACAGAACCGGTAGTAGAAAATTTTTGAATTTCACCACTGAATTAAACACATTAAAGTAGCTGAAAACTTGCATTATGTAATTCAGAAAGAAGAACAAATTGAAAGATGATTATTAATATTAATCAAGTGGTTAGTGGGCACTTACCAATACTGTCGTGGATGCAATGATTACTTTATAGGCCAGTAGTGCATTTGATCCAAAGCCAACATGCCAACTTAAAATTTTGAGAAGCATTGTACTTTATATACTATTAAGAGATATAGAATTAATCTTATCACTCAACGTTGCTGTTATTTATGACTTAGTCCCAGATTACATTTTTGTTTGTTCTGGAATGATCAACAGGTTAGCAATAGCAATAGCAATAGCAGTTAGACTTATATACCACTTCATAGGGCTTTCAGCCCTCTCTAAGCGGTTTACAGAGTCAGTCTGGGTCCTCATTTTACCCACCTCAGAATGATGGAAGGCTTAGTCAAACCTGAGCCAGTGAGATTTGAACAGCCGAACTGCAGATAACAGTCAGCTGAAGTGGCTGCACTACAGCACTCTAACCACTGCGCCACCTCGGCTCTATTGGACCTCAAACAGGATACTTCTAGAGTCTGCTACTTCAGCAACAGTGTAGCTCTAATTAAGTGCTAACACGGATGAGGAGACATCTGAGTAGCTCTTAGGGATACAGCCACTTTCTCTGTCTCTCCATCTCTTCTCAGAACTTGGAGAAAGCATGTCAGCATGGCCTCACAGCAAGGCCTTAATATCAGCTGGAAAACAGCTTGCTGAGTGGTTGTTTTTACAGCTCTACTGTGTGATCCAAAACAGGAGTGGACAATTTCACATGACAAACTGGGACTGTTGGGGATGACTGCCACCATCACTCCTTCTCTGCCACTGCTCCCACCGTATCCCCCACTGTTGTGACTCAGCAGAAGTTTGCTGTGAGTTGAGTCGGGATGCAGGATTAACAATGCAGCTGGGGCTCGTGAGTGTTGTCTTCTGGAGATAAAAGGACGGATGGTGCCATGCCCTGGTTGCAGAAGTCAACGTTCAACATTCATTCATCGGTCGTGGTTTGTTTGTGAGAGACACTTGGATAAGTGATTTGCTTTCTGTAACCCTGATTCAAGGAGACACTTGGAGAAGTGATTTGCCTTGTAAGAGAACTTTGTTTTTGTATTCTGTTATCTTCTTGCCAGAGACTTTATTTATGTTTATTTTGGGCTTGCA